AGTATATATCATCTTAATATAGAAATACAAATTAGGCTCATCGGCTCTATTAATTAACCGATTTTTAAATTACGCACATTACCGAAATTACCAGAACACTGATTATCAATACGTAATATTGCAATTCATCAGGGGCTAAACTCGACATAGTGAAAACTTCAAGTATTCACTTCCAGCTTTTCGCTCTGCAGCACTCATATCATAAAGCTTTTGATTAGATTTAGCATTACGACCTAATCATGAAAATTTATTCATTTATTTTGTTACAATAGAGAGTTCGCATTGTGCTTTCGTCAACTGACTTAGTTTGTAAATCGTGTAGAGAAATTTTAGAAAATATGTAGATCGTTTAAATCGATATAAATAAATTGAAGGTTTAACAGTATTGTAATTAAAAATTGTATATATAGGTGGTCTGCAATCCCATTCCAACTAATAAGTAGATATGATTAGTATAATACCAACTATTGATAATAAAATATTCTGATTAAATATAAAATAGAAGCTTTATACATTTTTAAGTAAACCTCAACACATTAAAAATTAGGAAAATGATCTATGTTACAAACATAAATTCAGAATTTGTTAACATGTGCATTAGGTGTATTATAGCTCTGCTTTCGGACAACTCTATAAAAAGAATTGTGTGAAATTTGTATGTATAATATTCGTGTTGAATAGACAGATTATACAAATATATATATTACAGTATTATCGTTATACAATCTTTTTTATAGAGCAAGTTAATTAACAAGAATGTATATGAGAATTAGGGATGTAAGCCAAACCCGGTAGTTTGGGATTTAGTAGAATCCCAAAGGGTTTTTACTAGTTACTACCATTGTGTAGTAACTCAAACAACACAAAACAATTATATCACGTGATCACGTCATAATCTGCGCCACAGCTATTTAATAGCACTAAATACATATTATAGCGATATTATCAAATAATCCAGTAAATTTATTTAATTTACATATTTACAAGAAACAAATAAGGTGTTGAGCGAAGCAAAAAATATTGTGCAATAAAAAAAAAAGTGTACAAAAAAAAAAAAAGTGCAAAAACAAAAAAAAAAGTGCAAAAACAAAAAAAAAATTGCGCAAAAAAAAAGTAAAAGAAATACGCAGAACAAAACGAAATGCGCAAACAAAAAAAGATGTGCAAAAAAATTTTTACAATAAATTTGCAGACCGCAATTCACTTTCTACGATAGTTGAAGGATCAAAATTCATATTACCACTTTCCTGGTTTACGGTTGTATGAGATATTTCATTAACAGTACCTTGTCCGCCAAAAGTTGTACTCGACAAATTTACTATTGATTCAATTTCAAGATTCTTATTACAGTTGTCCCTCGATTATATCAACCTATTTGGACCACCATTATATTCATGTTGATATGATATTAATGAGAATTTATATTAAAGTTGATATATATTAGGGGATTTTAATATATAAAAATTTATAAAAATTTAGTTTGTGGCTTAGGTTGATATTAACGAGGTTGATATTAATGAGGGTCAACTGTATTTGAAAATTGAAAAGATTCTAAAATATCATTTAATTCCAAAATTATATCATTATTTTCTATTGTCGCATAAGCAAGTAAATATGACTCAATATCAAATTTTGCATAATGTTTGTTAAATATAGCTATAGCTGGTTCACAAATAGTATTATTTATAGGGATTCTGTTAATAGCCGCAGCTAACTTTACAATATTAATAAAGCAATCTGCAAGATTTGCTATACGAGCCTCTAGGTTATTTATCGCCTCTTTAATAGGTTGAATAATGGATAAAATTTGATGACAATTGGTGTAAAATATATCATTATTAATATTGAAATAACCGTTTTATTGACTATATCTTGATTAGTTTCTAAAATCTAGAAAAAAAAATATTAATGAGCTTAGATCACACAAAGTTAATCTGGATCTCTTGCAGTATGGGTAACGCTTATTCTAAAATCAATTGATTAATAATATTAAAAGAGATCCGTTAATTTTTTGATTTCAATCAGCAGGTCGATTTATTATTATTATTAATCTACTATAAATTAATTCACATTGAAGGCCATGCAGAGTTAATTTTTATTAAAAAATTAGGTTGGCAGTTAAATTTTTTCTATCGGTCCTACGTATTGAATAATTCTGAAAAAAGGTCACCATCAGGTAGTATCAAGTTAATTTATAAAAAAAAAAAATAAATAACAAAAATAAAAAAAGATTAAAATTAAAAAATA